ATAAATAAGTTATGGGCAAAAAACAGATTTCAGTACATAGCGTTTAGCTAAGAATGCATAGCCTAACCATAGCTAGGAATCTGGCTGATAATTTACATCAATATCACTACCTACTTCTTCAGGATCATCAACCAGCCCTTCAAAATCACTTAAATCTTCTTATAATGCACCACGTATATCACTACTTTTGATTTTTAACACTAAAACAATGATAAACGTAATAAAACACATCAGTCATCGGTCCGAGGGTAACCTAGCTGTTTACAAACGCACGTCAGCTGTCTGCTACAATTACGATCGGCTCGGAGAACATAAAGCGCTTAGAGACAGACCTCTGGAGAAAGCGTAGAATATAACAAAAAGAACGATACCTAACTCGATCCAGTTCAATCCGATTCAGTCAGTCATAGAGCCTTCGCCGTAAACGATGTTCGTGCGTCGAAAAATCGACGCGTGACACTACACAAAGTGTGTCGCGCGTCGATTTTTTTGACGAGTGACGCTCGGAGGGTTAAATTATCCAGCTAATCATAATGTAAACAAATATATTCTTCAAAAGGATAACATGGGAACTTTAAAAGCCACTGGGGCAGAGCCCAAGGGACTTTTCCAAAAATGTAAGGCCAGTTTGCAAATCTACACACCTTGACGAACATTTTGGTACGGTGTGGGGTTAAATCTTAAAACAAAAAAACCTTTTTGTTGACAAAATTTCATGTAGCGTATTAATAATATAGATAGATAGATAACTTAGATGGAGAAAACCCATGGTGAAAGGAAAATCTTCCACCATGGAGATAACCTAAAAATTACAAAATTCATTTAAGTTACTTACGTATGTTGAAGAATAAAATCCATATGTTTTCTTTGATAGTGACTGTGTTTAAGCCATAGGTTTGTAATATTTCATAACAGTTTTGTAATTCATAGACATTTAAATTTTCCAGGTTGTAATTTAAAAAGAGATTGACTACTTCTTCCTCTGAACACTGGAATATCTTTGAAAGTTGATTCACATTTTTCGAGCTGTTTGAAACAAGAGTCTTACAGGTATATCCCATCATAAATTTATTGGTGATTCTTATCGATTGGATTGTGGCATGAAACTGTCTGAATTTGATTTGATGAACCATTATATTTATTGTCCTAGACCTAGGTGTTACAGTGGTAGTCCCGAATAAATTATTCATTTTAAGGCAATTAAATATTGAAATAGGTCTTCTGAGGTGTTTCATGTTATAAATAATTTACAAATAAATATGAATTTCCAGCCTTTAGAACACTTTAAGAGTTATAAATAGCAATGAAAAGGGTAAGTTATGCCTGCTAAGTTACTAACTTTAGTGCTTAAATTCACAAGTTATATCCATCTTAATCAATACTATTAGATATTGACTACTGGACACTAATGACGATGATTGATTATATAACCACACACAGATACAACTAATAATCATAAAATAAATAAACAACTACCGCAGCGACAGGTTAGGTTAGACTAATTCTGTTATTTTGTTATTTGATATTTGACAGAGGTCGAGCTAGGTAGAAGAGCTCACTGACTGAGCTATAAGATTATAAGAGCTAGGCTTGAGGGAGGAGATGATGCACTGATCTGATGCAGACAAACAGACGAGGTGGTGTGGGAGGTGGAGTGAAAACTGAATACTATACTCATGAACATTGATCACGTGATCACGTTAGGCTACTTTCTCCGTTTTCGTCAACATTTTCGAGTTTGAATTTTGAGTGGATACATCTATTATGGTTCATCTATCTCCACTCCAGGCGTTTTTTGATTTTTCGAAATTTTGATTTTTAATGGGGGTTTTCCCATAAAAACCACATAAAATGAAGGAAAAATCTAATTTTTTTTCTAAAATGGCCCATGATAAAGGTCGTTGACAAGATTATGGGAGAAAGTATGTGTCAGAATGCTGATACAGTTTATTTACTATGGATTAATGTATTCAAATATGTTTAGCGAATTTCACATATCTACTGTAATAAGCTATTACAGTAGGTCTAATGGTAAGACCTGGACCCAGGACCGATTTACTATTTCGTTTTGAGGTCCCCAGTGGGTAGAAACACCATCCGTTCAGTTATTCTTAGTTATTATTAGTTCAATTATTCCCATGTCGTGACTAGTCGTAAAAGAGAGATGTTTTCCATAATGACCTAAACCAACCTAACCTAACCAAACCTAACCTAACCAAGCCTAACCTAACCGATTATTCCGTTTTCCGTCATACTTCCGGTGTTTTCATCGGATCTTTTAATGTTTTGTATATTAATCTACACAATTTCCCCGTCATTTTGAGTACCAACACAACGTATTTTGCTGACAAACTTTTTTCCATTTTTCCGTTTTTTGTGATTTCCGGTCTTTTCCGAAAAACAAAAACGTCATTTTCGGATTTAGCGTAAATTTTAGGTAATTTTGGCCCAAAAATCTCACTTTTGCGACTATTCACGACGTAGGAATAATTACCACTAACATACCGTACATACATTATTTATTTATTCACTCCATATCAAATGTGTAGTATTTTTATCCCCGCAGCTAAAGCGAAAATCATCCAACTATCCGCCAAGCCATAAAAATCTAAGTCCCCATCTGGCAACTGTCCCCCCATCCAACCATCAAATTCTAACCTAGGGCCGAAAATGAGGTTTTGCCAGCTCGAGATAATTCGATCTTTTTGAGTCAGTGCTGCGTTTGAATACCATCGATCCCCTACTGCGCTTACTCTCTTTCTTTGATCTGAGCCGTGCCTTCAACACTGTGTCTCATGAGGTGCCTGAAGAAGCTCTACTTCTACGAGCTGGACGGAGTCGTGCTATCTACTCTTCGATCCTACCTTCTAGATCGTCATCGTACACAGCTGGTGACTTTGGCAGGTGCCTCCTCCTCTTGCAGGCTAGAACATGGAGCTCCTCAAGGATCCATTCTGGGACCACTTTTATTCATAATTATAATGAATGACCTGAATTATGATGGCGGTATCCTTCTTTTTGCGGACGACATCACCCTAATGTTATCTGGTTTAAATCTTCGGGAAATAAATGAAGATATGGAGCTTCGACTGCGAAATGCTTCAGCCTGGTTTGAAATGAAATATCCTTTATTTTTTCAGGCAAAGTTAGGGCCACATGGCCCTTTCTTACACTTAACCTGACATTAAAAATATAACAAAAATAATGTGACATAGGGATAACTTAATCTAATTAAACATAAAATATTTAACAATTCAAGTACCTATACATATCTAAAAAAAACATAAAAAATTAACAAATAGAAAAACACATTCACACACTCTCGCATACACGCATCAGCAAACGCGCAAGGCAACAGTAGCCCTAGGACACGCCAGCCGAGACGATCTTCTCAAAATAGAGCTTTTTCAGTGCCGACACAAACTGGGAACGTTTTTCAAGGGTCTTAATGTGTAGGGGTAGGCCGTTCCACAGACGACACGTGGTAAAAACAAAAGCCCTGCCATAAGCTGTGGTCACATGATGAGGTATACGCAATGTGATCGAAGAATAACGAGACATTCGTAAACTACCCTGAGACACAAATTTAAAATCGGATTTGAAATATTTTGGGGAGCCTGTTTTCAAAATTGAAAAAACCAATGACAAAATTTTAACGAATCTTTGATCATTTAATTTCAGGATGTGTGCCTCAAGGTAGTATGGCGTGATATGCTCCATACGTCGCAGACCATAGACAAATCTCAAACAATAATTCTGTGACCGCCAGCGCGCTGGAGCATACCCGCCTGAGTCGCAGTCAAGTCATTGATCAATAAGTTGCAGTAATTGAAGTGGGTTAGTACAAGTGATTATTTGATCAAATGTAGTTTAGTGTGTTGTGGTAAAAAATTCTGTAATCTTTTCAATGAATGTATGGAGGCAAAAACCTTTTTTCGTGTGTCCGTAACTGCTACGTCCCAAGAAAGTGAAGAGTTGAAAGATATACCAAGATTCTTGACATTGTCGTAGTATGGAATGGTTTGTAGCAAACCGTTTCCAGCTTAACCTCAACAAGACCCAGAGAGGATGGTTTGCAGTCTGGGTTACATTCCTCCCGTAGAGCAGAACCAAATAGGTAAAGCTTTTGGGTATTGTATTGAACAATAGGCTAAGGTTGGGATCAGCACATCGACCAGACTATAAATAGAGTCTCTCGTGTCTGCGCCCTTCTTCTAAAGCTGAGATCGTTTGTGAAAGAGGACTACCTTAAAATGGTCTACTTTGCCTTATTCCATTGCCATGTCACATATATGGACTGCTTTTGTGGGGACGTTCACCAGGCACAGTGGAGATTCTCAAGATGCAGAAATGGGCCTTAAGAATCATCACCGTTAGTGACGGACGGGTTCATACTAGGCCCCTTTTTGGAATTGGGTATAATTGCTAGTTAAAAGGGATTTTTGTAGAATTTGGTGGTTGGATAGAGGAAAACTAATTGGAGGATTTTTGCTTTAGCTGGGGATGAATTGGGAATTTTTTTCTTAGTCAGGTGGGGAGCTTTCATGGGTCCAGGGTGGCAACACTGAACTGAAATTCTGTATTACTGTACTGTCATGGAGAACGGAGAAGATAAAGAAAAAGAACTTAAGAGCGTTAGGGCACAGAAAACGTACTGTACGTTTTCTGTGGTTAGGGTGACTGGGTGACGACGACTGACGAGACCATGACCCATGACTTCCACCATGGACGAGACGACAAGGAAGGGGACATAGCATTGACAGGGAATGGGCACACGGGGAAAGTTAATTTTAAAACTTAAAATTAAAAAAAAATTTAAAATTTTTCATATTAGCGGTTCTAGCGGCGAACGCTGACACTACAATATATGTTAGCCTTAGTCCCTCCCGTGTGCCCCACATTATAGACAGCGGACGAATTGATTCTTCTCTCCAGTCTCCACTCTTCAGGAGGAGAGTTGAGTTAATGTATTATCAAACTTGGTCTTCTTGGTGACATTTTAAAGTTTTGTTTAAGTATAATAGTGGCACATTAAGTCCGCATACCTTTACAACGTGGAACTATATCAAAAGTTAGTTGGAAGTTTTAATTATTTTATTGGTTACTCCCTGGTTTCGTCTAACTTATAGAGGTTTCCTGAACTACCATTTCCTTCATGGGGCGTTCACGGTCTAGAAGTAAATCTCCTAGAAGGCGACATCATAAAAATAAACATTCTCACAAGAGGTCAAAATCTCGTGAACGAAGTTCACACAAGCATGGTGATAAAACTAGAGAAAGAAGCTCAAAAACTAGGTAAGCATCTGCTAGCTTTAATTTCATTTCAGCTAAGTTACATACAAATACCGCTAACAAGGTAGGCTAAATTACCTCTTACCTAGGCCTAATAGCCTAGAGATAGATATAATAGCCTACTAGTACTAGTACGCCTACTAGGGAGAGTAAGTTACATAGGCCTGCAGTAGGGATGCGCGATTGCGAGATGTTACAATCGAAACGTTTCGATTGCTTGAAACTCTCGATTTGATTGTATTTTTGCTTAGCAAGAGGTTCTTACCGAGAGGTTTTATCGAGATGCTTGTGACGATTGTTTCGTTTCAGCACGCTTCTCTCGTATCTCATCTAGAGAACCGAGAAGCGAGAAGTCCTTACCAAGAGTCTTTTTAGCGAGATGTTCATGGCGATTGTTTCGTTAAGTACGGCAGCGGCAATTATTATCATCCAATTTTTATTGCATCTGCCGGGGATTGTTTTCCCCAATAAGAGGTCTAGCTCTAAGCTTAAGTATTACTTCATTCGAAAAACAGAGGAAGGTTTAGTGTTTACTACGGAATACATTAGTGAATAATACCACTCGTTAAAAGACTAGGCCTATTCGACTATTAATTGACAAGACAATATAACTTAGGCTAACTTATTGATACGACAAACACAACTAAGCTGTTGCCCCGTTGGTGACATTGACCGTAGGGTGGGAGTGTGTCAGCTGATAGTGCTTGCAGTTACCAGTACTTTAACTGATATGGTTTCTATAACCGACTTTCAAATAACTTAATAATAGGCCTACTTGAGCCAAAATTTATATTTTCATTCAAAACATCCTGTGGTGAATTTTTTGTGGCTTTATAAATTTCAAAGCTCTCTAAAACGTTCATTAAGTTAAAGGCCTTTATAACTTAGCCTACCGTACTACTTTTGTGCATGATCTGTAAATGTTTTGGCCACTTATACTGGGTGTCCTACGAAGGGGTTTAAACGTTTGATTTTATATTACGTGCCCATTCATGCACCAAACTTTTTTAAACTTTACACAGTTTACAAAGTAGGTTCTAAAAATATTCTGGAAAAAATTCAACTCCCTAACCTTAGTAGAAACAAAATGGCGGCATATTGAAAAATTTACCAATTTGATTCCTATAAAAACTATTTTCATGATTTATTATCTGATTTGTTTACTACGTTGCGGTTCTAACGCTCATTGTTGAAGAACAGCTGTTTGATTGTAATGTTGATTGGCTTTGTTCTAGTTTTTTTATTTAAAAGTCTTATTGCCCTGGAAAGTAGGCCTAACAATAACAATATTTTATAAAACCAAAAATACATTTTTTAATGTTTTTAAAATATTGTTTTTAAGAGTTGTTAGCCTCCGGATTACGTTTGAATATTTATAATGGTTTAAATACCTGCATTCAGTAATCCATTATGCTGCTTGTGGCAACTATAGTTTCGGTTCACAGGGAACCATCTTCAGGCCGTACAAGGCGTCGTTATTCACTTCCATATATGAAGGTCGTCATAAGTACATAAAACACGAACACACGAAAACATACATTGACACGAACATTTAACATTAAAAATACCGAGTACTCGGGAACACGAGACAGGTGACGCGACCGGGTGGAAGTTGTAACAACTTAACAACTATACAACTTCCACCCGGTCGCGTCACCTGTCTCGTGTTCCCGAGTACTCGGTATTTTTAATGTTAAATGTTCGTGTCAATGTATGTTTTCGTGTGTTCGTGTTTTATGTACTTATGACGACCTTCATATATGGAAGTGAATAACGACGCCTTGTACGGCCTGAAGATGGTTCCCTGTGAACCGAAACTATAGTTGCCACAAGCAGCATAATGGATTACTGAATGCAGGTATTTAAACCATTATAAATATTAAAATATTGTTTTTCAATATGCCGCCATTTTGTTTCTACTAAGGTTAGGGAGTTGAAATTTTTCCAGAATATTTTTAGAACCTACTTTGTAAACAATGTAAAGTTTAAAAAAGTTCGGTGCATGAATGGGAACGTAATATAAAATCAAACGTTTTAACCCCTTTGTGGGACACACAGTACCTATATTGTGGTTGGTCCCTACCAAATGTAACCCTTTGGGGTCTCTAAGCCATTTTAGGAAAGTTCTTCCAGGATAAAAGAATATTTACCAGGATAAAAGATTATTTATTCTGTAACCTGTATGTAGGATGACTGGAACAGGTTTTTGGATCAACCCTCCAGTACACACGCCGCGGACTCAGAGGCCACACATTTTCGAAAAAGCGCACCGAAATAAGTGAATCCCCAAGCGAATGACGCCCCATCTACCTTCCCCCACTAACTTACCGTACCTTTCCAAGGACAATGGTGGTGTTTTGACTGTCTTAGCGTCAGTTGGCCGTGAGCTACGAGGGTGTAAAGTTAGGCGTGTCATCTTTCTAGAGGATGAAGAACAGGCCAGCGATTGACTGATTGGTTTTCAAAACGACATATTCAATTTGAAATATTTGTATTTATTTTGAAATTTATCTAGGGCCTATATCTATTTGTATCTATATTTGGATTACCAATATACACAGGCTACTGGTGTAACTATTAGCCGTGTGTGTAGGCCTACTGGAAGGTTAATCTGTTATAAGAAAGTGCAATTGGATATTGTTTCCATAGCAACAGTAATTCTTTTGTCCATTTGTAATATTCAATCTATAGGCCTATTTTTATGAAAGAGGAAGTTTGTATATATAGGCTAAATATATTTGAACGATATGAGCTCGGACACCGTTGCCATGAAACTTTCAGGCATTATTAAGCTTCATTTAAGGATGGTTTGTGTGAAGTTTGGCACAGATCCGTCAAAAGGGCTCCGCCCCATTGGCACTGAAGTTTCCCATGTTAACCTTATGAGTACCTACTCATATTTAAATGGAACTAAAGAATCTTAACAGCTGTTTTAACTAAACAATTTGATTCTGTGATATCCAATAGCATTAAAATGTTTTAAGGTTTACCAACAGGGTGCAGCATTATTAATTGCTTAAATTGATGACATCAGCTAATTTGAACCAAGCAGCAACAAAAAGCTGGGATACAAAATGAGAACTGTCAAAGTATGATTTTTTTCAGAGTTATATTGACTTTCTTTTTTTCTAAATTTGTCAACAAAATTCTATTGTGTTTGGTTTATTTCCCCCCAAAAAATGTTTGGGAAACGGGGTAGCCATTTAATTTTTTTAGTGGATCACTAAAAGTTTATCTACATCAGCAAATCCTATGGAACATAATTATTCTTAGCTTTCTCTTCCCGTTGCGAAGCACGGGTATGACTGCTAGTGTTTTATTAAGTATGAACTTAAAACAGCAAATTTTAATTTTAATTGTATTTATTATTTCATTACCGGTAGCTTTCAATAAAATATAATAATATTGGACTTATTTGAATTTATTTTTTTTTTCAATGTGTAAAACTTACCCTTATAAAAAAAAAAAATACTCGATACAAGCTGCTGTAGCTGGGTTGGCAGAATGGTGACCAACCTAACAGAGAAACCACAATGGCCAGCGGCCGTACAACCTGAGAGGCACGGTGCTGGGTGAACAATGACAAGCTGACTGCTGGCCACAAGAAGGCAAAGGGTCTAATGTTTTCATGTCAATGCTTTAACCCTACATATGGCGCTGGTCGATTTTCGACCACTAAAACGTGAGTTCTCAGTGGTGCTCGTCGTTTATCGACCAAGACGACATGGGTCGGGTTTTTCTATTATTAAAATATTAAAACCATTTTAAAACCCAATAAATCTTATACCATTAGAAAGATGAGATTCTTAGGATTCATTTTCATGTGTAAAACATTATTGAGTAAGTATTATGTAGCGAGAAACATAGCTTAGTTTGAAAAACTAGAGGGTTCAAAATAGATTTTGGAGGTGGAAAGTTTTGGTCACCTGACTACAATAAACAGCTGTTTTTGGCGATTGTCAATTAAATTGTATACCTACAATATTAGTACATATTCTGAAACTAAAATAAATTCCCTACAATTCCCTCTCAATCTACGAGGTTGATTGTAAAAATGTTAATTGGTTTCAAAAATGTCATAAAAATTATGTTTTTGTAAAAAAAATCTTCAAAATTTTACATTCTGATGTAAATTACTCAGAAATGTTAGAATTCAACTACATACATACAGGGTGATTGATATAAGTGTGCCAGCCGTTTTATACAAAAACTATAAGAGATATCAAAAAAAGTTAAATGGTAAGTGCCTTGTATTTTTTATTAAAAAAATTGAAGTCAAGTCAAAAAAATTATTTTAGCCGCCATTTTTCCAATATGGCCGCCAACTTTGATTTTTCTTATGGAACACCCTGTATTTTATGATGTATTCTGGTAGAAAATGTAATTTTAAGACGATTTTATTCTTGTGATTTTTTTCATAAACCTAACCGTTTCAAAGATAATAATGGTTAAAGTTTTGAAATTTCTGCATGAGAAAGAGTTTCGATAAAGGCCCAAGCAATCATGCCAGCTGTTCGAAAACCATTCAAAATTTCACAAATTAAACCATTATTATCTTTGAAACGGTTAGGTTTATGAAAAAAATTACAAGAATAAATTCGTCTTAAAATTACATTTTCTACCAGAATACATCATAAAATACAGGGTGTTCCATAAGAAAAATCAAAGTTGGTGGCCATATTGGAAAAATGGCGGCTAAAATAATTTTTTCGACTTTACTACAATTTTTTTAATAAAAAATCCAAGGGACTTACCATTTAACTTTTTTTGATATCTCTTATGGTTTTCGAATAAAACGGCTGGCACACTTATATCAATCACCCTGTATAACTATATATTTTCAGAAAGATCTTCTATTTCCTATTGTACAGAATCATTTTATTTTCGGTTGATGCATCTTTTATTTCCTAAGTGACAAAAAAATTTTTTTTAAATAATTTTATTTATGAGTATTTAAAAAACATTAATATTAATACGTAGGGAATCATATTTTAAACAACCTTTACATTTAGAAAAAAATGCAAAATATTTTGTGGTTTTCTTGTGGGTTGATTTTGAAATTTATAATTTGCATAATCCAAAAATTCTTTTGCTACTACGCCTAAACGCATTGCTAAGAAAAAATTATTTTTATATTATTCCATTTATCACTGAGACAGAAAATATATATAGGCCCTATATATGCGTGTACTTATATTCACAAATAAATGTTCTGTGGCTATATACTAGGCATGTTTTTTAAGTAAGTACCGTTTTTAAATTTCTCCGTTCCTGCACTGCGATTGGCATTTTTGACATTTGCGCTGTGTTTGGGCATCTATTGGTAAGACCTAGCTGGAAATTTGAGAATAATCAGCCGTGTTTACATCCGGTTTCAAGCATTCAAAATGGTGCCGCCAATTGAGACTGCCGCCGACTGTGAATTGCAAGCTGTAAATAGATTTTGAAGTGCTTAAGGTGTGAAAGCTATTGAATATCATCGTCAGATTAGTGAAATGTATGGCGATAACATTACGAGTACCATGATGGTACGGAAGTGGATAAAGGCATTTAAATACGGCCCCACTAACGTTCATGATGAGTAACGCACTGGGCGGCGTCATTACTGTTCCCGTACCCAGTGCCTTGCTCATCATGAACGTTGGTGGGGCCTTCTTAAAATGCCCTTACCTACTTGCGTACCATTCCGTCACTCATAATGTTCTCGCCATACATTTCACTAATCTGTCGATGATATTCAATAGCTTTCACACCTTAAGCACTTCAAAATCTATTTACAGCTTGCAATTCACAGTCGGCGGCAGTCTCAATTGGCGGCACCATTTTGAATGCTCGAAACCGGATGTAAACACAGCCGATTTTTCTCGAATTTCCGGCTAGGTCTTACCAATAGATGCCCACACACAGCGCAAATGTCGAAATTGCCAATCCCAGTGTTGGAACGGAGAAATTTAAAAACGGTACTTACTTAAAAAAACATGCCTCGTAAAACCCCATAAAAATAAATGTTCGTGAAATCTATAGTTCTTCTTTGAACTATATTTTGCTCTCCAACCACTTTTAAAACCATCAGCTAATGTAAATACTGTGACTTAATCAGCGAAAAGACAATAAGTTATATACACATTTTATATTGAGTCTATCTAAATCGTATTACCAATTTGTAGTACGTAAAAAGATTGTGATTCTTTTTGCTCTAGCAATATCGAGGCAAATTTGTTTGATGTTATTCAAGGTGTATAGCAAATTCTGTTCGTGTAAATGGTAAGTTGGAAGTCATGTCATATATTATTGGCCACCACAAAAGGGCCAAAATATACCCGCCACTGGTGAATAAAATTACCACCAGATCTAGGGTTAACAATTAATTGTCAAGCAATAAGCAATTAAATTAGCATTTTTTTTTTTATTAACCAGCCAAATTTTATAAAATTTGGTTAAAACAAGCTTATTAAGCTATGCTTTAAGCTGCTGATACTAAACTATAAAAGCATTTAAACATTAAATTGTCGGAATTATACCAGTCAGTAAATTTTATAATAGCCTACAGTGGTAAATAGTTATTTGTGCAATTAGTGAGCAAAGTGAGCAATTGACTCACTCGAGAGAAATACTTACTCACGAGCCGTAGGCGTGTGAGGAATGGTTTCTCGAGTGAGGCAATTACACTTTGCACTCGAGTTGCACATTATATTTTTCCTACAGTTACCATAGAACAAATAAATTTGTAAAGAAACGTAACATATTTTTACACAGAAGTGAACTTTTAATATGACATTCCAGCTGATTTAAAGCCAGTGCTGCCAACGTATTTCGCACGCATACGACCTTGTCTGCATGTTACGCGCTCACTATTTCGTGCCTTCACGTTGTAAATCTGGAGTGAGACAAAGTAATTAGAGTGCGACAATGTTAACATTGTCTCACTGATGAGCGAATTGGTCACTTTGCTTTCTCAAATCAGTGAGAGAACATGTAGATTGTTAGGTAACTGTAGGAAAACATAATTTATTTACTTATTAGATTTAAAGACAAATTTTGAAAATTTTTTAAAATGTTTAAATGATTTGGTAAAACCTTGAAAAATGGCTTTAAAGATGCAGCCTACCTTTAAAAATGTGTAACTTATATTTGCTAACGCTTAAAAAATAAATTCTAGTTAAAAAAATTAGCAGGAGTTCGTTTTAGTCTGGAATAGTGTCATTGAGTTTGTAACTTATGTGAAAGTTGGTAAGATGTTAAGTTATCAATTTATTTTCTCATGTTTTATCTTATCATTTCCATTAAAACGAGCAGTAAAGAACTAACTGTAGAACTACAATAAATTTGCTTTTGTTCCATTCTCCACTCAGGCAGTTGGTGATTGTGTTACTATCAAAAAGTTATTTCACTCGAATATTTTCACTGCTATTTTCAATGGAATTTCATCTGCAGAATGACAGGTTTTTTCTTTTTATATTTTAAAAATTTTCCCTCAAGCTTAAAAATCAACTTACTATAGCTAAAATAACTGTTTACTTAAGATTGTACTTAACCAATGAGTTTTTTTAGTGGAGTATTATTGTTCCAAAAGTGAATGAAACTGAAACCAAGCTTTCCTTCTAACCAAGCAAAATGTTAATTTTATATTTTATGTTAATGAATAATTTTTAACATAAGTTTTCATTTCACAGGTTTTAGTTTGCACAAGGCTATATGATATGGTATATATATTTACTGCTATCATATTAGCCCGTATGTTTATCGTGAAATATCACAATCATGTAGGTAGGCCTACTGTAAACCTTGTGTGAAAAATAAAGCAACTTAAATCTTATTTTCATTGTTTCTGTTTCAGGAAAAGATCCCACTCCTCATCTAGTAGTAGTTCAGATGCTTCCATCGACACAACAAAGCTGCACAAGAAAAAATACCACGATAGAAAAATGGACGAAGTGGAACGTTTGGCAGAAATGGAAAGGCAAAGGTAACAAAATAATCCAAATGCATTCTTAACAAAAAATAAATAAATTAGGGTAGAGAAATAAAAACTGTCTATATTTTGTTGATTAGTAAATTATTTAGTGAGAAGTTTAACCATCCCATGTATTCATTATTATAATGTTTTGTCATTAAGGCTCTCTAAAAGAGTAGATGAATTTAAAAAGTTTGTTTCCACTTAACCAGTCAGCCTACTTATTTTTTTATTTATTTATTTATTTTTTTTAAGAGGTTGGCGGCCTCTTAGAACTCCAACTTCACTTGTGTCCCCCGTCATGTCATATATGGGTTTACATAATCTTTTATACCGAATGTATTTAATAATGATTATAAATAGGTTTTGCCATATGTTGTTTATACCATACCAATTTGTATCTTAAAGAGATAAAATGCTAATCATAGATGTTGGTTTGTAGGAGGCAACGAGAGATCGAACAGAAACTGGTAGAGGAAGAGACAGCTCGAAGAATAGAAGTCATGGTTCAAAAAAGAGTGGAAGAAGAACTCGAAAAGAGGAAAGAGGAAATAGAAGCAGATGTGTTACGAAGAGTCGAGGAGGCGAAAAAGATTATGGAGAAGGAAATGATGGAAGAAATGGAAAAGAGAAGACAGATTTTATTGGAAGAAGAAAAGAAAAGAGAGGTAGGAATTCATTCATTTTGGGAACAATCTATAATTTATTTTAAGAGGCTAGAGTGGTATTTGTCAGTAATGTTGAAAGTTGATTGCAAAGATAGTTTGAAATGTTTTAAGTTTTAAGTGGTTTTAAATTTTCTCTCTATTTTGTTTGTTGTATGGCTTAAGTAATACAAGTTAGTCTAGTTGATATTATTTGTTTTTACATTAAAATATAACATAAAGCCAATCTCTTTTGATAAGGTGTAACCACTTTTCAGTGGATAAAAGACTCTTGATAATTTTTTTAAATCTATTACAACCTAGGCCAATTCTTGATTTTTTGAATCAGAATGTGTTACAAAATCTTCATTTTATCTTGTTCTTATTTCTTAATTTTTTTGCGTTGTGTGTTTAAGCTCAAGCAATGAAGTGTACGTACTGTATACCGCAAGACAATTATTCAATTTGCAGTCAACTTTTCTTTGCTGCCATACATTCTTGCCTTTTAAAATCATTTACTTTAGAATTTTGTGGACATGAACTGTTGTTGATAAAAAGTGGACTTTGAAAAAGAGAACATTTTAGATACAATTAAGGTTGTTGACAACAATAAATAAATGTAATTTATTTTTTTTTACCTTACAAATAAATGTATTTTTCCTGTTCGTGCTCTTCTTTGAACTATATTTTGCTCTCCAACCACTTTTAAAACCATCAGCTAATGTAAAGACTGTGACTTAATCAGCGAAAAGACAATTAGTGAGTCTACCTAAATCGTATTACCAATTTGTAGTACGTAAAAAGATTGTGATTCTTTTTGCTCTAGCAATATCGAGACAAATTTGTTTGATGTTATTCAAGGTGTATAGTAATAAATCTTTAAGTTTTCCCGAACACCTTTTGCCAATCAATATTTATTATTTTTGAGCACTCAGATTGGTGTTGGTTTAATTCTCTGTTGATTATTATTTTTGAAGATCTACCTTCTTTCACACCTTGCATAAATATGCTTTACAGATTGGTATTTTTAAACCTGGTATAAATAACTGTGTTGGCCAACATAACTTGATAACAGAATAATACAAATGTTTATTTCATATAAATTTAGCTCCTATATTTTATTACCTATAATTGCTGCCAGATCATGCAATTGATTTAATTAATTTGCTTTCGCATTCTTCTATCATCTTGCTATTTAATACATTTGTGTAAGAAAAACTCATATTCATTTCCAACAACTACCGGTACTGTACTTGCAATTTCATTTATTTACATAAACCACAAATGGTATAATGCACAACTACTAACAGGTCCTTCCGTAATGAATTGAAATTGTGGTCTACAAGTTTGGTTTGATTGTTTTACATATTAAGGTTTGTTATTGTTATTTAGTTCAGTTTGTTCTTATGCAATCAAGATTTTGTTTTATCTGGTTAGCTGTCAACAAATCCATCATAATGATATTCAAATAAAAAATCAAAATCAGTGCATCGCTGGAATAAAACATCTTTTAACGTTTATTTTAATTTAATACTTTGATTTGCCTTTGGCACTGGTAATTTCAGGTTGCCTGTTAAGTTAAATAACTTCATTCCAAAATTATTTAATCTGGACAAAGAGTCAATTTTTTAGACATACAACGTTGAGATATCGAGAAGTATTTTAAAAGCTTGTAAAATCACAACGTTTGGTTAAATTATTCGAAAGTCTTTTAATCTTGCTCAATAAATTCAGATTTTCAAAATAGTTTTCACATTAAGTCTATATTTTGAGGAATTGCAGTACCTATTTTAATGTTTTCAAAGCAAAGCCCCCTCCAGGGCGGAGCTTGAATGTGTTAGTATTTAAGTAATGAATGGGGATGCGTAAAGCATCTCCGCGTGCAGCAGTGGCCGACTCAAGACACTCGCAGGGACGGAGGTTAGCAGCAGAGGCACTACGGGGAAGGTACGACTCGGCAAGGTATAGCTGTGATGTATGTATCATTACTACTTACTTACTTAAATATGGTTTCTTTTGTTGGTCGATATTTACAGGAGTGGCTTTGTTCTGTACTCCGAGGTGGTAAGTGTAGATTTAGTTAGTTTGTGTTGTATCAAGGGTGGGGTTTATTCTGTATGGGCGTTTCACAGATTTTACATTTATTTCTACAGTTGCAACAGTAATATCCTTGAGTTGACCAAAATATGTACCTACAGCAAATTTCCAGACAAATGTTTTTCCTCCATAAAACATTATATCTTAATCTGGGAGAATATAGCATCAATAACACAAGATACGCTTGTACAGAATAGTCCTTAGGGTTAAAGCAGTACAGAGTTTTTTTTAGTTGAACGGGTAATTTTTAATAATTTATGTGAACTTTTATCCCATGACAAGAAATGAGTCTTTTAAGAATTTTTCTCTGCTTCTTTTTCAATCAGAAATAGGACTAGGTAGCCTACTTTGTTTAAATAACATTTAGAACAATTCTAGTAACTTTATATCACAAAGTAAACCATTATTTTAAAAACGAATGGTCACATTTCAGCTCTTCATATCCAAACATAAACTTTAGAAGTGTTTAGTTTTCATTAATGATTTTGTTTTAATTTTTCCTCTCCCTTGTCACATACCTAAAAAAATCAATCAAAAAATGCACATCTATAACAGTTAATTTAACAGTAGTTGTGAAAAGTTGCTAAACTTCCTAAAGATTTTAAAACATATTGCCATTCTTAGCAAAATAGTTTGGAGTTAGTTTTCATTTCCAAAAAGTCACAACTGAGTGTTGATAAATAATTAATATCATTTGGTAAGTTGAACAAGAGGAGGATGGATTAAAGATTAAGTAGCCCTAACTCCTGAAATATTTTCTAAAGCCTTGTTTTCCAGATTGAATATTTAATTTTTATAAATTTTGTTTCTTATTAATTCATGGAATATGATAAGCTTTTGTTTAGATAATAGGAGATGACCTACATTAGGTTTAAAAGATCTGTTTTTCAATAAAATTTATTTTTGATTTCCTATCACCTATTAAACCGCAATAGGTATAGGATTCTCAATGACAATCATATAGCCTACAATAGAATGTCTTGTATATAATCTAAATACTTGATAGCTTGATTGTTATTTGTTTTCAATTGTTAAGTTTCATATATCTAGAAAGTGTTTTCAAAATAAGATGGTGGGACCGGTTATTGTATTTTTTTGGTTCATGCACCAATTTACAATTTTTTAAGACCCTACTTGTTATGATCACCCAAACTAAGTTACAGTATATTAGACATGTTTTGAAACCCTTTATAAATGGTTTTTTGCTATTCCTTTACAAAATTTATTGGTTTTATTTTAGTCAAAACTTAAAGCCATGTTCATTATTATAATTCCTCTTAAACAATTGAGACTTTTATTGTATAATCTAAGCTCAGATTTCAAAATATGAGAAGGGTCACAAAACTCATAAACAGTTAAATTTTGAGTAATATCTTTTGAAATTATAAGTACCCCCTTATTATTTTAACACATTGGCTAACAAGTGACAAATGTAATATAATCTAAAATTGTCTGGCATCACACATACAGAGAGCCGACAAAAAAACAAAACAAAAAAAAACAGTTTTATCTAGAGGGTACTCTAATTTACAGTAAGACAGCATATCAATCATTAGCTCTCATTATTTTTATTTATAATTTCTGTTCCTCACACAGAATTTCTTACATTTAATATTTTTATGGTTTTGATGCTGGTATTAAGAGGGTTGTGGGGTTGATTTTATTTCTAAAAGACTTGAGCTTGATTTAACCTCACATATACAACTGCTGATTTGTTGGGTTAGTAAGTGGTGAGTGGTTGGTGAGTCGGTGGCTCAGTTGGTAGCGTCACGGACTTCGGGCCCAAGGCAGCGATGTCGTGGGTTCGGATCCTGGTCGCTGCCACTAAAATTTATCAGTACTGTTCACCTTCGTACTGTACCGGCTCATCCCTTGCTTTGCTGGATACGTTCCACGCACAGATTTGTAGTCTATGTGGACGGGCAAATGTAAAGTTAAAAATGGTCACCAACCTCTTTTTTATAAAAAAAAACTAAGCTAATCAACATAGTTTTGGTTCAGTTTTGAAAAGGATTTAAGATTTAACGAAGATCCAACAGTATAATTCATTGAGTAAAACATTATAGCATTTAAGTTCGATAATCATCTTTAAAAAATTGAGTTTTGTGACTAGTATATGAGATGCCTGAGTTTTAAATGTTACAATTAGCTGCTGTAAAAACTTCAGCAACATTTGTTAGCCAATGTCGTGGTTTTACCTATCTATGATAACTTATGTTTACCACACATGTTATTTATTGTGTTTTATTGTTACAGCATCTTCGACTTTTCTTCGTGTTCGCTTCTATTTATATGTGAACTGTTATTATTAGTGTTGTACATATATCAATTAGAACGAGTCATAAATATCCTTTAGATTCAAAATACATTTTTTCCTAAACAGATTTCTCCTAACTAAAGTAAAATTGTCCGTCAAACTAGAGTAGATGAATGACTCGGTCTAGCGGAAGCGTCTGTCTGACTCATGATGGATGCTTTCTTTCAATTTAAACTTTTTTATTCACATCGTTTTCTTTGGTTTTAGGAGGAAGAAAGAAAAAAGAGGGAGGAGCTGGAACAGATTTTGGCTGAAAACAACCGAAAAATGGAAGAAGCTCAGAGAAAACTGGTGAGTTTGTGTTGATAGCTTTGGATTAGCTTAGTTTAGACTCACATCGATAATGACTCATTAAGACTGTGAAACTTGGCTCCCAATGGGAAAGATTTCTGCACAAACGATTATGATTACGGTGAATGCTGTCCTATGTAAAGCTAGTCTACAAATTTTTTCTAATCTTTTTGTAAAAAAAATCCAACTGAATACAGGGTGGCCACAGAACCAAAATTCATAGAAAACCGGGAGTTACAAATGACAAGAATCTTGAATAGCGTCTTTTCTTATATCCTATTGGAAGCACCGGCCAATTCATTTTTATAAGTAAAACTGGAGTCAAAATTTAGTTGTTCATTAATCAGCTTATTTTATTTCTATTTTAAATTCTTCCTTAAAAAAATACAATTCTTCCCAAGTATTCATTACATTTTATATTTTACAATTCTTTAAAATACATAGACTATCCTCCATTTTTCTAATGAAAGGCCATTTTGTAACAGGTGTTGTGCGACATTTGATCTTTGCGGTTTGTTGTTCCTCCACGCAGATATGTGGTTGTTAAAGTGGTTAACAAAGTTCACAGTCTGCCCAATGTAGAAGTTATCACAATCGTTATAATTGATTTTTTAAATGCCCGAAGTGTCGAATTTGTTACAATCTTCTATTTTAGGTCGTCGCTAATTTTAGTTATTCGCTAATTCCACCTAACTATCAAGATGGTGGTCGCCACTCCGCTATTGGTTGATGAGCGCTAAGCTAAAAGTTCCGCTAGCTCTGCCTTCCGATTGTCTGTTGCAAGAATATTATCAATGGATTAGTTATTAATGGTAGCGCAATAAAAACCACATGTAAATAAACCACATATTAAAATTCATAATAAACTACAGCAAAATTATTAAAACTAAAGGAAAAGGGCATTTCTGTTTTAGGCTACCGTATTTAATTATGAAGACATTAAGTCGTGCAGTGTGCACCGTGTACGTATACACTTGTTGGTTGGATTGTAGTAAATAGTTAACCTGTCTTCAAAATGCATTCAATGCTGTGCTGTTGGCTGTAATAATATTACTTACTACGGGAAAATGTAAGAAACACAAGTAGAGCTTTCAGTTATAACTTCTGTACTAGTACTGGTTGGGAATGTGTATTAAAGCACTGTTTCATACAAAAGTAATATTCTTTAGGATAACTAAAAGGCATATCGGCATATCAACTTGCTTGAAATAATTCAGTTGGCATAAATTAATTATTAGCTACGCAATACTACACTACACCTTGTGGGCAGCACTACTCGCCGCGCCACGACATTAAACTGAGGCTTGGTTGCTCTGTTTAACCCAAAATTTTAACAAAACTAAGCATGATAGAAAGAAAAGTTAAATACAAACAGAGAAGTATATTTAATTAAGCCTATCTACAACTTTCTCACAGACGAAACTTCTCTGACCAACAAACAAAAATTTTAGTAGGCGACTAACTTTTTCACTTTACTTTTTTACCTAACTTTTTCTAATGTGTTAATTTTAAAAACATTTATATATACTACCAAGTGAAATTTTAATTTTCAAAACCATACCATTGGCATGAAGAGTTTATTCCCTAGCTCTGTACCAAATTTCAAAATTTTATCTCAATTGTAAGGGTATAAAAATGCAGTATATTTAAACCGCGACCACTAGTTTCGTACTACCGTAATGGTGAAACGGCCGGGAGTTACTGCTCGGTGCGACGTTGCCAATTCTCGCTGGCCGCGGCCTGTAGTTAAAGGAGGCCGTGGTTGTAGTCCCTGTGCAGCTAAATGTGACATATCTGGTGTTTTCCTCTTTCAATCCTCTCTCAATAGCCTACAGGACTCAGAACACCATGAGTAAAATTCTGCATCCTAAAATAGAAGATTGTAACAAATTCGACGCTTCGGGCATCTACAAAATCAATTGTAACGATTGTGATAGCTTCTACATTGGGCAGACTGTGAACTTCGTTAACCACTTCAACAACCACATATCTGCGTGGAGGAACAACATACCGCAAAGATCAAATTTTGCACAACACCTGTTACAAAATGGCCACTCATTAAGAAAAATGCAGAATTGTCTATGTATTTTAAAGAATTGTAATAAAGGATAAATGATGAATACTTGAGAAGAATTGTATATTTATAAAAATAATGTAAAAATAAAAATAAACTGATTATTGAACAAGTAAATTTTGACTCCAGTTGTACTTATATTTCAAACGTATTGGCCGGTGCTTCCGGTAGCCAATAGGAAAGTATTATATAAGTAAGGACGCCATTCAAGATTCTTGTCATTCGCCTATTGGGTCTGAAGATGATTGGAATGTCCAATCGAAATGTGGTCTTAACAAAATCAATATTATCATCGGTCTTCACGGTGAAATCATTAACAATGTTCACAATCACAGCGAAATTGTGAACTCTTCTGCAGTCACAGTAAAATCGAGAACATCTCGTGAGGTTTTGTTACCATTCTCTGATATTTTTGAGTACAATACACCCAGCTGTGTCCTCGTCTTAATTGGTAATAAATAACTTTTTTGGTTTATACATTTTTGTTTATAGGTTTACTGTAAGTGCATGAGGTTCAAAGTTCATCTCAGTTTATATGTATTTTTGTTTAATGTAATTTAAATTTTGTCAATAAGACAATATTTAAGACTTTTAGTTAAATTTATACCAGCCAAATTTTCATCAATACTTGTTATAGGCTGAAGAAAGATTGGCTATGGTTGAAGAACATAGAAAAATGGAAGAAGAGCGTCAAAGGTTAAAGAAAGAGCATGAAAAGAGGATAAAGGAAGAACAGAAGAAAATATTAGGAAAAAACAATTCAAGACCGAAATTATCATTCTCACTGAAACCGACAACATAAGAAATCGTCTAGTGAGATTGTAGTTAGTTTGCATGTGTAAATATAAAATAGGTTTAAGTTGAATGTAAGTTATTTTTACTGACTAGAGATTGTAATTTGCTCACAATCACTGTTGTTAATTGAAAACTTGTGTTCAGTTACATATTTTGATTAAGCATTATCTCGATTATGTGTTATGTTTTAATAATACATATAAATTATGTAGCTTATCATTTTTTACTTTTCACAAATCACAATAACTCACAAAAATTATAATTCTTTAAGACTTTTAAAAAACATTTAATTATACTTAAAGTAGGTAACTATTATAATTAAAATTGAAGCAAAACATTTTGTTTAGTGGCATCGACTGTCTATAGGCCTACTGTTAAAGTTAACCAACATCAGTTTTATAGAAAAATTTTATTAAACAAAAAATTGTTATGTATATTTTTCATCTAACAACAAAATATGTTAGTAAATATATTGTCGAAGAAAAGGTTTTAATTGTAACATTATTTTTAATGAATTAATTAACATTAATTTTAACATAATTTTAACTGAAGAAGCTGACAACTTTTTTATTTTATTTTTTTCATTAAATTATTCATATAATATTTAATAAAGGTTAATATTATAACTGGCATCCATCAAACCATTTTATAAGAGGTATTTAAACTTAAAAGATAAGACACCTTTGACGTTTTAAAAGAAACATTCTATTCTATTTCCTGATTTACTTCCTACCTGACAACTTGTTAATTTGAATGTAAAGTAAGTAGATCCTTCTCGAGGTACTGATCGGTCCATAAACTTAAGGTTACAAAACTGTCATTGTATCCTTACTCCAAAACAGGTAAAAGTCAACTTATGTAATTCTTTAACTATTGTTAATATAAAACATTCTTTTCAGTGCCTAGCCAGACTTCAAGACTGTTCTAAACCAATCTTTTTCTGAAATATATCCCGTCGTAACAACAAAAAAAAAATTTAAAAAACTAAGCTTTTAAAAAGGGGTCTCTCTGTTGTAAAACTTGGGTTTGCCTTAATGAAAGGAATGAAATAATACATATAAAAAACGAAATTTTGAAGGGAGCAGTCAAAATATAATTTAAATATCTAAAATCTAAGTAAAAAAATAAACAGTATAAATAACCCTTGGTAAAAAAAAACAACAATTCTTATTGAAGCTGCTCTTGACGATTTTGAAATGGTATAGCCTATAGCAGTCAACTCTTTCAGGTCCCAAAATTCATTTGTTGAGTTAAAGATATTTCTGCCATGCCACAAAACGTTTTATATCAGTAAATAAATTTACTGACGACCTTCTTCTACAAAGCAAATATTTGATTACAAGCCAACTCACATTTTTATCCGGTCTAGCTCAAAAATTCAGTTTATGTGTTGAGAGTCCCTTCTCACATTAACCACAAAAGTCTTTACTGAGCAAATTAATTTTTTTAATGTTAACCTATAGCAGTACAGTGTGCTTGGTTGGGATCCTGACTCCATTTTAAAAGTTCAAATCAAATCATTTATTTCATTTGAATAAATAAACAGTGCCTCAGTTAAGAGGAGAAGCATCTTTCTGCTCTTCTTTGGGTTTTGGGATGCAGTGTTATGTGGCATGGGAAGTTAGAGGGAAAAAATTCATATTGTCTGAGTAGCCAAGACATAGCCATACATTTTGTAAGACTTATAACATGTAATTAAGTCAAAATGAACATATGTGGTGGTATAAGTTCAATCAATCAATAATAAATTTTACTTTAACCATCTTTAAGGTAATAAAAGATAATGGAGGTGTAACTTCATTGTGTCAAAATAGTGATAATTTTTAGAGTGTTGTCTATTAGACCGTTACCTCACATACGCTGCTAGTGAGTAAATATTTTTTTAACTATAATTTTCATGTTAAACTTGATTTTCTTTATAAACTAAAATCCTTTGAGACCCCAGATTTTATTATAGCAGTAAATAATTTACCGTACTGATGTATGGCCACTTCATTTTTATTGTTTCAATGCCGTGATTTTATATAAAAGCATATATAAAGAAATTATTCTTTTTGTTACTGCCAAGCAAATTGTTTTGTAAAAATTAAAAATTGGTATCCATATAATTAATACTCTACATGAAACTTTGTCGGTTGAACTCCTCCACCATTTCTTAACCGATTTTATCCATTGACCTCTCATTGAAAAGAGCGTGTCGCTTAGATTTGCAAACTGACCTTACATTTTTGAAAAAGTTCCTTGGGCTCTGCCCCAGTGGCTGTTAAAGTTCCCATGTTATCCTTATGAAGAACATAATTGTTTACATTTTGATCAGCTGTAGTCTCTTGGATTGCAAACTAAAGATCACCTGATTGTAACTGTCAAATTAGTTTGTATTTTTTTTTATTTGATTGTTATTGTTTTTATAAGAACACACATTACAAAATAAAAACCAAATCAAAACAAATACATGTACTAATTTGACAGTTATAATCAGGTGATCTTTTGTTTGCAATCCAAGTGACGTCAGAATATGATGGGAATAGCACACCTATGTTTTTTCCTTCCACCATGAATACAAAGTCTTTTAAACTCATCGGAAATTATGATGACTTTTATTTGTTTTAAAATAATAATAACTACTTTACTTCTTTGCAATTGCTCGATTTCGAGCAACGTGTTTACTAGTTACTATTAATGTGAAACATTATGTTGTTCTCAATAAGTATTAGTCTGCACATTATTATTTGTGTGCCTTTTATTTTTAAAGTTTTTTTTAAGAAAGCAAGTATGTGTGGAGTACTTTATGAATTGGTAGTCGTTATCAACTGAAGTATCTGATTCTTCCATGCACATTATTTTTCTACATTTTGGTTTTTTTGCCTTCTTTAATGTGATTTGATCTGTTAGTAGAACTATTGGTTTATTTTCTCTCTTGGGATAATTTTTTTAAAGAAGGGGGGTTCTAAAATCATAGTGTGTTTCTATGAATTGAGACGGTTACAAAATCCTCTATCATTACCATAACTAAAAACGAAACCAATTTTAATAGGCTTATTAATGTAACAGGGTTTAGTTAAATGTTTCTTTATCAATAGTTTAAGGTAAGTTACCCAAATAGGCACATCCTAAGTGAAATGTTTCTTTAAAACTAATAAAATACTTCAGGCTTCACTATGTGATCTCTAAATTTCCTTCACCTCAGCTTTCAAATGTGTGGCAAATTTTGTTTCTGGACGTAACTTTGGTTATAGCCAAGTTGTGTTAGACGGAACATTTGTTTGGACTAAAAATGTCTAATGGATGGTTAATTTTAAAGATACTTTCAGTCCTGGAGGATGATTGGTAGAAAATTTAACATATTATTACGCTTAGGGTTCACATACACTACAAACCATAGACACTATGAGCCTCCAAATATTTATTTATTAAATACTTGGCTCATTTACTCTACAGATCATAGTGTATACGAGCCTCGTAAAATAATATTGAAGTTTCACCTGCACTAAAGGCCTATATACACTACGAGCCTATCGAAAATATTAAATAAATGAAGAGGGTTCACCTACTATACATATGATAGTGCAAAGCGAACAAATTATTTTATAATTCAAGAATCAGCTTGAAGTGTATACAAGCTAAAATACTTAATTTATATAAATTATAGATGTATGCTCGTATAAATACAATGAGCCTATTTCATAATAAATATCACAAAAATAGTAGACGGCTCACTTAAACTGCAGTGCAACATGTCTACTCGTCTCGTGGTTTGCAGCGCTTCATTGAAAATGGCGGGAAATGTATGACCCGCTGTATAACCTAGCATAACCTAACATTACTTGTTATGTAAAAAGATGTTGCAATATACATTTCTGGGCACTCGAAGCAGTCGAAGCCGGGCTATATGACTTCAGTTTCACGATCCCATCCGCGCGACTTGTAGATATGATGAGCTGTAGTGTAGGCAAGCCATAATATTTCCCCCGTCTCAGGCTCGTAGTGAGTGTACACCCATTACCTTAAACCCGCCATTTTCTTAATTTATATTAATTCTGTATTTTGGCTTGTATACACTACGAGCCGATTCATGAATTATAAAATAATTCGTACGCTTGGCACATAGACACTATGATCTGTAGAGTAAGTGAGCTGTCCCCCTATTTACTTGTATATTACGACCTGTGCCAAAAGATCAGTTTGGTCTAACATGATGTTCCAGATAGGATCCCGGATGATCATCTTCATTTGTAATTCTCTGAGACCAGCTCGTATGAATACCTATTTAACATCTTGCTTATATAGCAATGGCATTTATTGCACTTGTCATATGTGCCACTAACAGAAGCAAGAAGTAATTATTTGTATATTTGCATAATAGTGTTGTAGATTAAACTTAAAACCAAAATAAGTTGCATGTATTCTTAAGCAGCTGTGTTTGATGTTCCAAAATAAGTTTTCAAATCAAAAATATGTACTAGCCTGCCTATATTAAGTTTATCTTAATAAATATTTCTTTGTTTTGTACATCTCATTAAAACTGGACAAAATAAATACAGATAGGAATTTTTTTGTAGTTGTAATAATTTATTACATTTATTAGTATTACATATTTTGAGGAAGGTATTACGTCCATGGGTGTTTCCTAGATAAAACAAGAGTTTTCTACTCTCGATTGGACATAACTCAAAACAGCTTGATAATGTTTTAATTTGTGTAATTAAATCATTCAATATTTTCTGTGAAGCTGCGTCTTTTTAAAATATTAATACTGTTACTGAGAGTGGGTAAAAATAAACAGACAGTATGTATTGGCAATCATAAATTGTGATTCACACAGAAATAATGGCAAGAAACAGCTGTAAAATAAAGTGCGATAAGACATAGCACATTGAGACATATAGCACACAAATGATCAACAGAACTGGGCTACTAATTGGTAAAGGTAAAACAACATGAGTCCTCGACAGTAAGACATGTACAACATGATGTCTGCACTGGCAACATAAACTGTCAAAACAATTTCTAACTGGTAAGCCAAAACAAGTTTAGAATGAGGAAATCCAAAGGCATCGACAATAACTATCCAAGGCAGTAGAAACATACAAATATTCGCTCGAATACAACATAACAAGTGCAGCACAATAGATATGGTCGGAGATATCGGATATCCTTCATGCCCGTCCCGCCTTACCGATCAGTCTCAATTGTCTTTATAAAAGTACCCTTAACTATCCTTTATATTAAAATCTGTTCTTATGGCATTAATGGTAACTCAAACTCTCTAAATCGATGAAAACATTTATAAAATATTAAATAAAAAACATGTAAAAATCAAAATTACAAACAAATGTCATTTATAAATCTGTACAAAAGATGCGATGACGTCACCACTAGAGTGTGAAAATAAACTCTGAAGGACGGCCGATCACAGAACGCTCTGACGTGGTAACTTCACAGGCCTGACGCACACTAAACTAGAGACAAGGCCACCGACGAGTATTGCGCTCAGTCACTGTCACTATTTGTACCATCTCTCATCAAGGCATCTCGTTTGATTAACTAAAACTGTTCCGGCTCAGTCCTCCTTCCACCACCTTAAAACTAGTTTCAATATTCGTGGTGAGTAATACAATAAATAGTAAACTATAAGTAAGTAACAAGAGTAAATATTACTCAACGAAAATACCCCTGCTAATGGGTAATCTAAGAACAGTTCAAACTTATAAATAATTTCAACGGCTGAACGAATGTTGGTGGGCCGTAACTCAAACCATAGACAAGCGAGTAAGTGCTCTTTTTGTCTTTGGTTTAACAAAACTTGCAATGTTTACAAATTGTACAATATTCTTTGTTTTAAATTGACATACTTGCTGAGATATAGTAAATAAATTAACATAGTTAAAATTTATAATATGGACTTAAAAATATGATTATGCTTGTAGGAACACCAAATTTTCATGATATCTGTAGCAATTGATTTTGCAATATGTTTAAGGACTTAATATGCTATAATATGATTTTCAAATCATTTTGTGATATAGATGTTAAAAAAATACAATTGAGTATTATTAGAAAATAATCATATTAAACTTTAACTTCTTTATAAAAATAGTTTTTTTGGGATTTGTATCACTTCTTGACAGGCCAATTTAGGAAGGGAATATAACAAGGGTATGTTTGTATTCCATTGGGATAGACCATTTAAAAATTGTATATAAATTTGAAAGATGACATAAACATTACAGGTTATAATATTGATAAATATCACATACCTTATCTTACTAGCAAGTTCAAAACAAAATATTTGTGTAGTCTTTTTTTGTATTATAAATTTTTAGGTTAACAATAGCTACTGCTAAAGTTTAAGAAATGCATCAAATGTAGAATGTTTTCACAAATATTTTGCTTTAACAATCACACCAAAAGACACATAGGGTCAAGTCAGTAAGACTGGAAACAAAACTGTGCGTCAACATCCAAAGCCGAGAACCGAAAACTGGTCTCGCCACAGAAAACTACAGTCCAGCTGTACAGTGGCAACGTAAACTAGAACCAAGAATCACGGGATAAATGCTTGAAAAGTTCAACAAAGTATTTGAAAGTCCACTTTGGAGTTGGGAAAGCTCCGACTCATGAGATTCACTGAGCGAGTTCTTGAACAGTTCAAAACGGCAAACTCGCCACAAACATGTTCTCAATGAGAGGAGGAGCCGGGACGAGATCTTCTAGTTTCAGATAGAAGATCCTCTGAAGCCCTTGTACACTGAGAGATCGCAGCTCGGGAAGTTTACCGAGTAGTCGGGAGAAGTAGTGCATCTTGCGTTGAGCCTCAGCGTTGTAAGTGACATGATCCCTCAGAGAACTGATGATCTTCATTTGGAGCTGTTCTACCTTATGGGGTTCTCTTAGTCCGTGTCTCTCTGTAAACATGATTTGGGGTTAGACAATGTTACCCTTATTAGGGAATATACCTTTATTTTCTACACAAAATGGTTAAAACTGCGTTTTAAGATCCATGTTTCTCTGAAATGATTTAGACAACGCAAAACTTGGTAGGCAATATACCTATTCCTATATACTGTAAAATAGTTGAAATTAGGTAACAAGATCTAGGTTTCTCTTTTGTCAACAATGTTTGTTGATGGAGAATGAGTTGTGTAAACTCTTTTATTAGAAAACAGGCCTATAAAGCAATATTCAGACAATATTAACAGTATTTTGTTAGATAACATGTGTGTGATCAAATTAATTGTTCTTAGAAAAACTGATAAGATTATAAGGTTACCCAAACTAAATGATAAAAATAAATCAAACAGATCTTTGTATTGGATATATTGGATATTACAATATTATTAATCTCGATCCCTACTACGTGATGTTAATTTTCGGGGCAGAAACAATTTACCTGCCAAAATTTGTAATAACAATAAGGAGTTAAGAAATAATAAGAAGACTAAAGTGTAATATTTATAACAAAAGTGGATGTATTCAGACCTCAAAGGGACCACTTTTGAGCACCTGCAAATAGGGGAAAAACATTTTTTAGGAAGTGTAAGAAGGTTCATTATTATTTTTAATCAAAAGAAACATTGAATGATTATTTTTGAAACTAATTTACCAATTCAGCAGAACCATCCTAGGGGATCACAAAGACAAACCCAGCCTAGCAAAGGAACTATTCCCTGAACCATCTCTGGAACAACCTGTTTTGCCGAGAGTAGTTCATACCTGTTATCAAAGTGAGTGCGCAGAGACAGGCAAATGCAGAGATATCTATCTCCATGGCGTGCAGTGATTGACAGAAGTCTAGGATGGCGTGTAGCCAGTCTCCGAAACTGCGTTGGCATTGCTGCTTGTCCAGCACCACGCCATTACAGAACGTCAACTTGGTGTCTGTGGCTCGTGTTCTGCAATATAAAATTAAATGATCAAATGACTCGTGTTATTTTGTTGAAATGGGATCACATAACACTTTCACTTAGCAGCAGTAATGATTTCAAAAATTAAAAACTTGCTAATGGGCCTTTTGTGCATTTTAACGCCTGATGAATTTTAAAATTATATTTATTGTATGGGAACGGCAAAATTTTATTCATTATATTTATTAGAATTATTATCTTTTATCTCTCATATTTATTGTATTAAAATCAAAATTAAAAAAAAATTTACGAAATACGAATTATTGGCCTAGCACTGAAAGGGTTAAATCCTATCTGTTGTAGGAATGTTTCTGATTAGCAGCCAAATAATTAGTAACTGGGTTACAGGATTGGTTTTCAACTTCTTAACTTTTACTCCTCAAAGGGAAATTTACCAGGAAATTGAAGGGGGTAACCCTAGTGGAAGACATCAATAGAAATCAATAGAAAAAATCTATTGATATCACTAGATGCTTAGTGATATCAATAGGATGTTCATGGATATCATTACAAGTAAATACAAACAAATATAGACATCACTGAAAACTTAGTCAATACATATCACTAGACATCTATAAACTTAAAATATATCAATATAGATCATTAGAGCAAACAAATCGTTCATTGATATCAATGGAGAATATTTTTTGAATATGTTAGATATAAATATAAATCAATAGACATCAATACGGGTAAATAAAATGCAAAATATCTCTATCACATATGAATATTGGGGATTATACACAATACCAATGTAAACTTTGTGAAATAAACAGTAATAAAAATGTTATTTTTTGAAAAAAGGAAAAACTCTAGTTCTAGGTCATAGGCTTTAGCTGAGGTACCTAAAACTCAATATAGGTAATTTAAAAATATATAATTTTAAAATTATTGTAAAACAGTTAGTTACAGCTTGTATTAAACCTTTTTTTTAAACTGCCAAAAACTATGATTGCTAAACATTAAAATTATTGTTGTAAAACAGTTTACAACTTGTATTAAAACTGATTTTCTTAAACTTCAAAAAAGTGGTTGTAAAAAAATTTTAAAATTGTTGTAAAACAGTTACAGCTCGTATTGGAACTTATTTTTTTCAACTCCAAAAAACGTATTGTTAAACAATTTTAAAATTGTTTCAATCTTATATCAAAATTGTTGTAATATGAAGTTTAAATCAAAATGTTTTAAAATTGTTATACAACAATTATTGTAATACAGCTTTCGACAACTTTTAACAATTTTTTTGCTTATTGGGTTATTGTTAGGGATAAAAATCCCTCACAAATTCATTATTGAGTTCCTTATTTCTAGAAATCAATAAAAATAAATTGTATTGACACTATTCATATCACCCAAGTAGCATGAAAACAGTTTTAACTGGTGATAAAACAGTTTTGAAACATGTTAAAGCATATACATGGTTGAAATGACACACATGCCATTGAAAAATCTTTTAGTTAAATTGTGAGGCCTAATACAGCTTCTCCCATTCAAAATGGCAATCATTACTCAGTCTAACATGAAGCGTCCGTGGTGTAGTGGCTAAGAAAATCAGTTTCCATGCTGGAGTCCCCGGTTCAAATCTCGGGACCGGGTGAACTTTTTGCCAAGAATTTTTTACTTTTTTATTTTTATTTTATTTTTAGTGCATAGTTGATATAATTTAATGTTTTGAAACAAATTAAAAATTGTTTTTTAACAAGCTACAAATTATTTTCAAACAAGCTAATGACTCGGATCCTATTTACTTGTATTGATATGTATTGATGTGTATTGGCCCAAATACACATACGTATCAATATACAATTTTTGTATTGATATATATTGATCTCTTCCACTAGGGAATTGATAGTAGTAAATGAAATTTGAGAGTAGTAAATACTGTAGTAATTGAAAAAATGTAAACTCGTATTGCATATTTTCATATTTTAGAACAGACTGCTTTGATTAAACCATAGATAAAACATACTCATTAAACCTACAAGGGTATTGACAGATTACACATTCACTTTTGAAGGACAAGACATTAAATCCTCAAAGTGAATTTAGGTATTAATAATAATATTATCACAGATAAAACACACTCCCTTGTGTTGCTTAGTCTATGATATTATAGCCTAATATTGAGTTACAAATAAATATCAAAAATTGAAGAATATACAATTAATTAAACTGTGGTACTAAGTCTTTGTGGAATAATACAACTTGTGTTTCTTCTGGAAGGATGATACTCTTCATAGTCATCCGATAGTCAATGGTCATAGTCTGAACATATATCTATTCAATCAGAAACAAAACTTGATCAAGATACAAATTTTAACTCAGCGCTGAAGACGCTCCTTTGTTCAGTATTTTTAATACTAATTTAGGTTGCAAGCTGGTAGTGGTAGGCCAGGCTCCTGTTAGACTGCAGGACTTTGGTCCACAAGGTCCTGATTCAAATCCCGCCAATGACCAATAGGTTTGATCTAAGTGGTAATTCCCAAATCCTTTAGACCCATCCTGGACTAATGTAAAAAGGTTCCGGGGGAACATCACACGGATACCAACCTGTAAGCTAGGCGGAGGACAAAAAGTTCTAGACTTGCTGACTGGAAGAGCAGTTCCTGGTCTTCTCGGCAGAGGTCTCCGAAGCCAGGGATCTTGTCAGCAAAGTGACGGATCACATCTACTGAAGTGGTCAAGAGGTTGTAGAATTGCAGGATCTTCTCAGCTTCCGTGATTGGAGGCTCCATCGGGTTGGGTTCTCTATACTGCAAACAAAACAGGTAAGAGTGAGTCGGTGGAATCTCTTTACAAAGTCGTTTTTAAGTTTCCGCACAGAGGTGAGTCTAGGATAATGCATAAAATGAGACACACTACCTACTTAACCTGCAGTAGTAGAGTAGGGAGAGTTATCAGGGATGGGTTTTCACCAGAAATCATAACAAATTAAAAGCGTGTCCAGCAATAAATCATACAGGGTTGAAAAAGTAGGCTACCGGGCAGTTGAATATTTCAAAAAGTAATAAAGATAGAAGTTCTGAAGCCCTAAGATAATTTTAACGCATTATTCAGAAATGATCTACTTCTTCAGGGCCCCCCAAGAACCAGAAGAAAAAAAACCCGAACGGGGGAATATGCTAGAATTTGGAAGAAATTCATAAACGTATGCATAGTTCGATATGCACATCATTAGTAAAATATAATCAATGCTTAAAATTTGAACTCAAAAGAACAACAGAGTAAAAAATGGCAGCGGCCAAAGATTTCTTGAATCTGCCATTTTGAATTTTTGAACGGCTGCCATTTACCCATTTTTGACTCGGCTATCAGTTTGATTTCATTTTGCAGCATTGTATTCTACTAGTAAAAACCCTTAATTTGGTGTGCATATCCAAGGCTATTAAAATCAACCTATGCTTACTTAAAATGTTCTTCTGACTCCTAGTGGGCCGTCACCCTGAAGAGGTATTACATGAATCATGTGTTAAACCGGTGTTAATGCCGGTAACTATGTACCAGCTTACCAGGTTTTAAAGCTATATCTTTATTACATTTTTAAATATTTTAACCGTCCCGGGACTTTTTATACCCTGTATTTGTTGCTTATTTATCCTATATCAAATATTTATATTATATAGTTATATTATCAATTGATTGATAATTTGATATACTGTGTTATTATGTATTCCATTATGATTTATTCTCACCATCACCAAACCTTGTACAGTATCTTATATTAAATTTTCACTACTGTTTTCCAATTCCCATACCAAAATTGTTTCTGTTAATCGCTACTTTACATTAAAACCTCAATTAGATCAAGTGGGTTGATTAGGAGTAAATACAATTACAGATACAGAATTGCCACTGTCAAAAAACGTCTCAGTGCCTTAAATAAACAAATGGTAGCCTACGTTAAACGCATTACTGAGCAGCTCTTGCGTTGTCAAATTTCAGGCGCAGCTTAATTAGCAATCATTTGTAGGAACAATATGACGTCTTGTCTTGTAAAATGTAAAGTCCTATTTAGTAGCGCTGTGGACATTAACTACAGTAGTTTACGCAACGATTGCGTTTAAGACTTTTTACGCGAGTTGCGTACACTACTTTAGCTACGTGTGTTTTTACTAAAAATCACTACTCATAACTTCTATATAAAGAGAGGTTATGGTTTCGTTTTATAACCTCTCATTGCCATTGACAGTGATGTAACGAAACATTGTAACTGTACTGAACATGAATTGCACCACTCAACAATTAAATTGGCCTGAACAGCTGATTAGTTGAAGTTCGAACCATTACAATTAATTTTACGTTTTTTTTTTCAATCCTTCATTGGTCCGTGTTGCCCATTGGAGACTTTTCACGAGACTTTCTCGTGATGACGACTTGACTTTTTTTATCTACAGTAAATAAATGTCACGTAAATAAGTTAAATTAGTGTTTTTTATCGTAAATAAAGACTTTTACTTTCAAAACAAAAATATATTAGGCCCTACTGACAAAAATACACTACAAAGTTTTGTTTTCCCAAAAATAATTTGCGTCACATTTTGATTTCGTATAAATTTGTTACAGTATAACTTACTAAATACTATATGAATATTTATATATCTAAGTTGTTCTTTCCGAAACCGAAATGTTATCTTTGAGACTCTATGACAAATTCGCATCTGTTTTACAATATTGTAGTGTTGGTAGTCCTGTAAAACAGATGACTTAATAGTAGTTGTATTGTTTTGATGCGTTCGAGACATTACTTATACGAAACAAGTGATTGTATGTGTATTGTTAAGTTTTTATTTAATTGTTTTCTAAATGGCGGGACCTTAAAAAGTACGTTTGACCGTGTATTTTCGAGTGGAATAGACAAACTCCTCCAGTAATGATCCTAGATTTATGTGCCTCAGCCAACTTGAATCGAGTGCAATGGATAACTCGTTTATGGTAAGATTCCATTGTTGTTATTATTTTTTTCTTTTCACTACCTAGTTTTATTGTTTATAATTGTTAATTTAAATTAGTAAAAATTAGTAACTAATTAGTGTTAAATTAGTAAAAAAGTCAAGTAATAATTTAATTACAACAGGAAAATATCTTGACTTTTATTTTTGGTTAGATAGTGAAAAATGACGTCATTTCCATATTTGTCGTAATTTACAAAAATAATAATAATAAAAGTATTAGAGATAGGATACACAAATATATGTTATATTTCCACGTAAGGAAATTAATACGGTATACATGTATGGCAATTATAAAACTCTAGCACATCAAAATAACATATTTTTTATCCTTGCTTAATTTTTTTGTATATCACGTACTAACCTTACAAATTCACCACTTTTAACAGGGGTCTGATGGTCATGCTATGCCAAAGAATATTCAGTCTCCAATGGGTTAAGTAAAAAGAAAAAAAAAAAAAAACAATGTTGTTGTTAAGTAAGTAGGCTAAGCAACGCTATTATGTAAATATATTCAATTATTCTAAGAACTGAACTGAAGCGGTTAGTTTACAAAACGGTAGGTAAAATATAATTACTAAATGTACAGAAATCGTAGCTTTCAATTGAATGCAATATACCGAGTGTCCCGGAACTCTCTACCAATATTTTAGGGCATTGCTCCTGGGTAAGAAACATACCTAAATACCATACTTAAATTGTCCGGAAGTCCTTAGTTACTCACACAGCAGCCATTTCTTTTCAGTTAGGCCTATAAATTTTTTCTAAAGACTGGTTTAACATACGAAATGGAAACTTTGCACAAACATTTATGACAACTAGACAAAGCTACAAAAAAATTATGACGATTTTTCAAATTCACAAAACAAAATGGCGGTCATTAAAAAGTTTTGTAAAATCAACGGTTTTTGAGTTAATTAAGAAACAAAATTTTAAATGGCCGCCATTTTGTTTTAAGAATTTGAAAAATTGTCCTAATTTTTTGTAGCTTTGCCTATTTGTCATAAATGTTTGTGCAAAGTTTCCATTTCATACCGGTATGTTAAACCAGTCTTTAGAAAAAAAATTAATAACTGAAAAAAACTAAATGGCGGCTGTGTGAGTAACTAAGGACTTCCGGACAATTTAAATATGATATTTAGGCATGTTTCTTACCCAGGAGCAATGCCCTAAAATATTGGTAGAGAGTTCCGGGACACCCTGTATATACAAACGAAACTCGCTCACAATTTCTTTTCTGAAAGTGGAAAACAATTGGGTGGTCAATTCGGTCAATGACAGAAACTTATTATAGTCGTCGTGCAACAAAATATGAAAATCAATCGAAATTTGAAATGCAAATTGAATCGGACTACTGTCTAAGTAAACGCAATAAAAATTCATGTTAGTAATTAAATCTCGATTAATATTGATTACCCAGAAAATCCGATAATGCCTGTTGATTTACACTCATTATGTCAGCGAGCCCGTGGCGCCGATCATTAACTTAGGGCAAATTATGTTTGCCATGAATAATTTATGTTGACAATACTTCGCGAAGGCATAATATATTATTAACGTGTGTTCTGATTTTTGCCCGCGGCTCGACTAGACCAGTCCTGTATGTTTCGCTTGTCGACGGCGTTTAGATTTATACTGTCATCTGTTACGCGGTAAACGGACATTTATAATAAGTGTCAGAGGGTCTGGTTGAAACGTGGAAATAAGTTTTCCCTTGATGGATTTATTTGCTGAAATTTTAACACCTTTCTTGGCACTGGCGGTGTGAAGTTGTTAAGTCCAAGTTGTTGACAAGTAAGTTACTAATTTTTGAAGTACCGTACTAGTTCTCTTGCTTTAGAAACAATTCAACTTGTATAGCAGATATTCTTCTTCAAAGATTTCGTCCGCTGTACTGTGATATCCTAGTGTCCAAAAAGGAGATACCAGTTTGACAGGTATGTTAATAGGACTATGGTAAGGTAAAACAGGAATCTATGCTGAGGAATAACTCAGAAATCAGGGCCGTTTGAGTCATAGACACACAGTTGTCACAAAACCGGCATTGGGCTTCTTTTACGTATTATTTTACTTTCATGTTAACAAAATAGCCATGGAAATTATATCGTTTTCGTGAATAAACCGTCTCCACGCTCCGTCGGACAGTCAATTCTTAAACTTAATAGCACTCACTGTTGGACTAAAATTTATCCAGACCTGCGTGGTGCAATCGCAACATATGAGAGAAGGCCAAGCTCCACATCTTCAAGACCGACTACGGACAATCAATGTTCCATATTAATTTCGACATAATTTCCATGTTAGTTTCATTCACATCTATGTTGGATATTAGTGAAACGTGGAAAGCAACGACTGCTATTGCTTCGTGTCTGCGGGTATTCATCAATAAATGCCTTTGACGTACAAGGGACATTTACTGACCAGACAACATCTCAAACGACGAACGACGGGCCAAGCCGAAATAAAACTGCAGATACGATACGAGAGAAAATGTTGACGGCTGAAACATACCTTGAGGAAACTAGATGACACTATTGAAAGGGATAACTTAGAGTTTTCAAGACACTAGAAAATGAGGTTGAGGTACACCCTGACAAACATGGAGACGAACGGTAAAACATGTCAAAGAAGAGAGGAAAATGTGGAGGGAATTGAAGACATTGGTGTAGGATAGAAAAGGAGGAGATATCTCCTATGGATGCCATGTGCTCTCAGAGATATCAGGAAATCATTTACATAACCGACAGATAATTTAAGTGTATATCTCACCTGGGAGTAGTCTAGTGTGGACAGGTCAGGACTGGTGTCTACATGTGCTCGGACCAGAGCGGTGATCAGCGACACCGGAGGCGAGGGCGGAGACTCCTGCGGACTCTTAGGCTTGGAGGGTAGTCTGCCACGGCGACCCTTCAGGGAGTCCGTCCGCACCACCTCCTTGACCATCCCCACGACGAGACACTTCTGGAAGCGACAGAACTGACAGCGGTTCCGCCGTCTTTTGTCAACCGGGCAGGCCTTCTCAGCCAAACACACGTACTTGGATCCCTTCTGAACCGTTCGCTTGAAGAAACCTAAAAGGTAGTTCAACTGATTAATTAATGTCGCTTTCCAACAGGTCGTAATGGTAAAGACAAAATCGGGGGTTTCCATTTTAGAAGTTTGAAAATACCAATGAAGAAGAAAGTTACAACACCAGGTCTGTAAAATTTACCAACCGATACATACAAGATTTTTAAGAGTCCTATAAGCAAGTTGTATCTTAAACAGTTTTACCATAAGAGTCCTTGGAGGCTAGTGGCCATCTTGGATGATTTCAAACATCTGCTGAAGAATTATTTATCGTCCAAAAATAATTTTGTTCAAACACCAAATTGATTATAATTGTAATATCTAGTATACTGTGAGATTATAAATGTTTGTTGTAGTTTTGAATTGTTCTCCAAGGGAGTCCATGGAAGCTGACAGCCATCTTGGGTTTGCCCGCAGAGAGTATAGTTTTCATAACAGGAAATAAACAATTACGCACCTTGCCTTATATCACAGTCTGTAAATATAAATGCTCCACAAATTAATAAAACTAATTCCTCATTATATATCGGGTGGTTGTACCTTTGCAGCCCTCGCAGGTGCGGACCCCGTAGTGTTGACATGCTGCAGTGTCGCCACAGACGGCACACAGTTGTGATGGCGAGGGAGGTGTAGGGCCAGTGGTGAGGTGGGGAGGGCGAGGACCTTCACATGTGGGGGACGACGAGGCGGAGGACGACACAGAGGTCGGCGGACACGAGGCGGTCACTGGAAGTCGTGGCTTGGGAGACTCGCTGCTGCTGTAAATATACCACGACCTTGAGTTTAGGGCAGAAATCAGAATCAGAAATGTTTAATTGCCCAAAGTAATAAATGCCGAGATAGTTTGTTAGTGGGTGTAGTGATTGGCGATTAACTCTGGTTAGTGTTAGCACCAAACTATAAAAGAGAAATTAAATTTCACCGACACCAATACGTAACTTAACTAACATGAGCCGGACTAAAACATGCTTAAGATTTTACAATGAGATGAGACGTCTACTTGTGTTATTTAGTCTATAATAGTTTTAGAACGGCTAGGTAGAACCACAGAGCAATCTGTCGAACATCGAGTCTCGGGAAATACTAAACCGATCTTTTAAATTTATTCTGCTCAATGTTAACTTATTTCTTCTTTCCAGTATGAATCCCGTAAGTTTCTCAAGTGTAGGCTATGATAAGTGATGATGGACATAATTATAGAACTATCTTGCAAATGGGCTTTGTTCACTGATCGCGCAAACTGATTGCAATAATCTTTTAATTGCTGAGACGAAATATACGTCAGAAATTATCTTGGTTTGGATAAATCCTACACATATTAAATTCCACTTAAATACAAACATGACTAAAATCATTCTAGAGTTTAAAGTAATAACACATTATCGAATCCAGTAATAATAAATGACCGTTGCAATTGCCAAGTCAATTAGGTCCTTCAAAACAAGTTTTATTGTATCGCAACTTCTTTATCTTTCAGTCCGGAATCGGCGTCCACATTGGCACTATAATCATGCATCATCCGGGAAATATCCAAAAAACCGAGTCGTAAACACTTTACGATCTTGCAATGACCCGACTCACATTTTGTGGGATATCGTTAAAGTCTCCGTCCATTGAGGCCCGTGTGTGTGTGTGTGTGTGTGTTGGCACCCTACAAGGACGGCGGCGTTGTAAAACGTGAAACCTGGAGCTCTTACACGTAATATATAAGGGATTACGAGTATTTGAAAGACATAAACTGTTCAAATCAAAGGCTATTGTTGTTTTTCACGCGGATTTCCTTTTGTAAAGACAGTTTTGCATCGACATTCGCTATACTCTTGCACCGATAAGAGCAAAGTGATTCTAGAATTGGCGGGTTGATTTTTGAGTCGGGTTATTTTGTTGACCTTACGAAATGCTTTATCGAAATGGTTAGCCTTTTCAAATTTGGGTAAATGAGGCCATCGAAAGAGGTAGAGGTCTTTTTGTGTTTTTGGAAACTAGCTGTATTTGATAAAACCTGGACATGTTCTATTCCTGTTGCATTAGCGTTCCTAAACTACTGATATTTTATAGGCAAGCAGCTTTCCTTCCCTGACACTCATGTTAGTTTGTCAATAATGCTATAAATATATTTGTAAATATTTGTCAACATTTTATTCATAAAAATACTGTCTTGGTGTACAATGTACAAACTCAGTTTCCAGCTGAGCCAGATTTAGCAAGATTTGCCTGTTGTGCTATATTATGTTCACCAACCGGCGCGGCGCAATCCCTCTAATGATAGCGTGCAAGACACTAAAATACGTGTAGAATTAGCGTGTAACGCGACTTAAAATGAAATTACGCGCAAGAATTTTAATATATTCATCACTCTGCCCCCGAGAGAGACGCCAAGGTCAGTAGGAGCTACGTTGTAATTAAAATCATTATCAGGTTGCTGGTAAGGTCCTCAGTCGAGACAGTGTAGGCCTATTTTTAATTTAATTTCAATATCTTTTGTTCAATAATTGTACATTGTACATTGAATAGTGTTACATTACTAACCTAGTAAATTCAGTTATAAGCTAAAATTACAATTTGTACAATACTTAGAAACAACCAATAAAATCAGGTGAGGAAACACCTCTTTAATGGAGTAAGGAGCGATTTCTGTAAGATAATTTTTACATTCTTTTTTAAAAATTTGATGCTGCCAATGGTTTTTAAATGATTTGGAAGAAAACGTAAAAACCTTCTTCCGGCACAGGTGGGCTTTTTATTTGAAAATAAAAGATGGTTGCGACTATTTTCTCTTAGGGCTTTTCCTCTTTATATTTTTCTTTCAATGCAGTTTTATGTTGTGTTATTTTGTTATGATTATGTTTGAATTTATTGGAAGGGTTTGGTATTTGTTATGTAGTTCAATTTGTATAAACGTAATTGTATTAAATATAATTAACTGGAGTCTATTAAGCAATTTGATTTTAAGAGAGGTTTCTATGATAAATATCGTATAATGAGTAATCAACTTATTAGTTACATAAAAGTATGTTGATTTAAGTCCACATTAACTATTTATTTAAAAGTCGATGTTTTATACATGTAAGAAAGGGACATATTTGATTATGCATCATAGCTTTTAAGCTATTGACTGGTCAAACTGTACAATTTGATCAAATGTAATACAATCTCATGATAAATATGAAAATACAATCTTTACAGTAAGCCTAAGTTCGGTAAATATTCTGCATTAGTAAAACACTTTCTACGAACCAACACGATTTTAAAAATCTCAAAACCGTGCGATTCCAAATTGTTTGGATTTTGTTAACACATACTATATTAACACTATACAATTTGAATACAAATTGAATACAGTTCAAAAGCGGGCTCGTAAATCGGACGGTGCTAAAATTACCAGTAAACGTATGCAATATAGACCGTAATACTAAACTAGTTAAGATATAATACAGGTACCATCAAGTCGTATAAATATCTTAACAGCAAATAAATGTAAAATATACGACCACACACACAGCCCGGCATGTATAATATGTACAAATGTGTATGTAAATTGTAGCATACATCATGGGAATTTGCATAACTGTGTTGGGCTATGGTACGCCCCCAAACCCATAAACAAGCGTTGCTTAGCAACAATGACGAAACAGCTGATAGAAATGTGTCAAACTCCCGCCATGCCGCGCAGAAGTGATCTTGGGATATGTTTTATTTAAAAGAGGGTAAGTTTGAAATCTACTGTATAGTGCTTGATTTTCTCCATTTCTCCATGTAACTGATCTCAGTTATACTATTTGTTTAAACATTTAAGTCACGTTAATGCAAAAATTTTAAATAGTTAAAGCGTAGACATAAGTTATTCCGGCTACTAGAAACAGAACCAATATTAATATAGAATTTTGTTTTTATGGTTAGAAAAATGTCCAGATCATTTATTACTATTGTTTTACACAGCCGACATCTCAATAAGGTTGCCAATTGGCTAATTTATCAATGGGGAATATTATCTGGTTCATAAGCATTGTATTTTTGGAAGACAACAGAGCAGAGCTTTGGGAAATTTGGTTCGTTAAGCAATTACAACCACATAGGATTAAATTTTGGTGCAGAGGTTTAATTTTACGTGTACCAAATTGAAAAGTATTGAAGTATACGTCTTAAAAGTACCTTGGGGTTAACCCTGATTGAAATGTCATTTGTTGAAATAATTATTTCGTAAACTAGATACAGGTCAACACTTTGTCCTGAAATATAATGCGGAAGGTTATTTTCTAAAGCTACGTACAGTTACTATTCTGCATCGCGTTATCGTCATGAAACAATAATTAATAATACAAAAGCTTTTGAGCAATTTGCCACACAAAAAGTCCAGAACTATTTTTAGGAAACAAGGTTAGGTGTAACGCCTTTAGAATGTAGCAAAACGAGCCTACAAAGATTGGAACTAGAAAATATCCACAGCCAAAGTTGTCTGAGGTGGCACTTTGTAGCTGGTCTACTCCAATTATGAAAATAAAAGATTGTTTACATCTTACAACAATGGACAAAATACACATTATGTGTTCATTTATTAATATATGCCACTTATTAAATAGATGATTCATGTTTCAACGGTTTCCAGTATATTCACAATACGCCGTTACAAGTTGAATTTGAAGCCTAAATAATTTTAAACCTAAAGAATTACATCGTTAATAAGGACCTCGCGTAATTCTTGATTATGGGTGGGGCGCAAGACGTCCGATCTGCAGCAATAAACAATTCTGACATCCACCGATTAATTTTAATTGAGGACTTTATCAAGCTTACATTAGCCACACTTGCACTTGATTGCTTGGACGTGCAATTAAAACGTGGAAGTTGTTTATTTATTCTGTGTTCCGTGTGCGAGCAGCGAAGTCTCAACATTTTGTGTTATTGAGTTAATGTTTTGGAACCCATTTATGAGGGAAACAATAACATTTCTAAACATTATTATTACTAAACAATATTCGACTGCGGTCTCAGGCGGAATGTAATTGTTGCAATTCCCTCGTAATTCCCACCGCAGATTGCTCATGACTCTTAACAAGATTCTGGTTACCGTCTCGGCTCTGGGCGGTTTATTTAGATTGTGCAAAACATTCTTGACGATCAGTTTTTGTGTAAAATTGCGGTTAATAACATAATCACTTAATGTTCGGACTTTCGGTTTGCGATCGGTATCTTAAGTAGTTGAAAAACGCGATTTAGTAAAGTAGGGGATTGACTAATATGTATAACGGAATTTGTAATTAAATAAAATACTGAGACGTTTCAATTTTGACCAGTTTACTAAATCTTGGGGGGTTTTTTTAAAGCTAAAAAGATTTAACATTCTTTCTTGTAATTGAATTTTTTGTGGATGTTTGAGGATTAACTGATTGCTTATTGCTGATCCTTGTTTATTATGTACATTTGTTTCATTCTCCAAACAAAAGAGACTATTGTTCACAAGAAGACATTAGACTAATTTAAATGGAAATGTAGCTTAAAAATCGGTCTTATAAAACTTTCCTGAGTTTCATGCCTGAGCTTTAACATCCTAGAGCAAATGCCGTAAATATATGTTGTAAAGAATTATCATTTTTAAATATTGCATCAGCCCAAGTTTTGGTCTTGAGAATGCGGTTCGTGACTTTTTTGTACATAATCTGCTCTTGGTTTCCTTCAGGGCCATTTCAATTTTAAAATCTGTAATCACTCAGTAAGAGTTCTAAACTTTTTTTTCAAACTTCAAACGAATTTGCAGGGTTTTTCATCTTCTAGCAAAACTGCGAAACATGTTAAACATATTTGAGACTTTAGCACCGATGCACTGTATTTTGACTGGTGAAATCTTGCCTAAAAGATACACCACGATTCGTTATCCGTCAATCACGCCACGACCTTTACCCTATCGATTGAGAAAACAAAACGTTGTCATAGCAACCGTGTGTTCAGCTGTCGCCACACAACACAAGTACAGTAGTATTGCAAGTGTTGTTACCTGGTGGACTCAGACCGTTGCAGAGGCAGGGATGCCCGTCTCTGGCGAGGTCCTAGGGCGGTGTTGACGGCGAGCTCGGCAGCAGGCGAGGGGAAGTGCGGTAGGGAGTGACTCAGGTAGTCCTGGGGGTGCTGCGTTGGCTCGAAGGCGGTGGCGGGTTGTGACGGGTAGTAAGGGGTAGCTGGCGACGAGTAGTGAGGCTGGTGGTACTCGTACTGAAACACGAGTAACTTTATAAGCTCATTTTTTGCTGATGGCGAGTTTACATTATCTTCTAACAGGCTACAAACATCCGTCACAATTAAATTAGTAAAAAAACAAAGTTTCCACCTGTTGGGATCTGGCATCTAATACGGCCCCCAGGAGGGAAACAACAAAACATTACAATTGTACTATACACGAACCCAGATGAAGTAAAATAGTAGCCACTCACAGAACATTATAGGAGTGAAACACAAAACCAAAAATAAAACAACAAACTACTTTCTCAGCTGAGGACGGGTAGATTCCAAATCCCGAAAAGTCGCAGAAACTTTCATTTTTTCTAACAGTCATGGAAAATGTCCGCAATATACTAATCTGTTAAATAACTAGAATATGATTAAAATATTTTTCATTTTACAGTAGTTTGATTGTTTGACTGAACTGCACAGAAGGAACAACCATCATCCGTCCAATGGAACATTGGTTTGGGAACTTACTCCTTATGAGAACATAATGTACACATCCAGTGATTAACTCAAATCCAAACAACTGATTGTGAAAACGGTAAAAATGCTTACGATTTATTAGAAAGACGTTTTCAAAAGTGTACTTTTGGAAAATATCGAATCATGGTATTACTGATACCTCCTTTGGAATTGTTATATTTGCGTGATACATACTTATGTTATAAAACAAATTTATACATTGCATAGCATAGAGCGAAGGTTACTGTCAAATAAAACGGATAGAAGTGTAGAATTATATTAAAGTAACACTTAACAATATTCAAACACAGGTTTTATCTACTTCAATTATGTATGTATCACTGTTGATCAATATTGTCACATGTCTTAGTTAGCTTAGACGTTTTAAGATCCCTTCAAAATCACGCTAGGGCTTATTTTTTCAACTACTTGACAATATTATTTCATAGCTACCTGTGGTTGAGAGTGTGGTGTGTGAGGTGCCGCGTGGTGGTGGTGGTACGCCGCGGGGACCGCGGGAGTGTAACACTCGTCATCCATCTTGAAACCGTAAGTCTCCTGGAAGCTAGGCAGGGGCGCAGCCTCCAGCGCCACGTCCTGGAAGGGGTCGAGGTCTTCTGGCAGCGACGCGGTGGCTTCCTCCGGGTCGGGATACGGCGCCGACAACAACTCAGCAAAACTGGACGCTCCAAACGGTGTCTGCGGAACAAACATTCAAACATAAGTCGAGAAATCTTGTTGGGATAGTTGAAAAAAACTAAATCAGTTAAATCATCGTAGTAACTAAACATTCCTTGGTACGGAGTTTAATGCGAATATGAATGAGAAAGTGTAAAACTATGTAGACACTTTGACTCTAATTACAAATACTTTTTATCTTAACACAATATGACTATCAGGGGTTACTAATTAAAACATAAATGTCAATTAACGCTCTCAAATATTGACTTAATTGCTTAACCTCACTCTTATGTCTTTTCTCTTTTCTTTCATTACGAAACACGGTAGGATATAGTTTTGATTAACATAAAACAAATATTTTAGCAAATAACAAGATCCTTATTCAAATAGGCTGTAACATACAAAAATTAAAATTTCATATCACGAATTTGTATAAATCGGCAACTGTATTAAAATAAGTTCAATTACTCGGGAACAACACCGCTATAAGAAACCAAAATTAAACAAATAATGGTTAAAATCAGTTGAGCTAAAGACACATTTATGTTTATGGACTTTGTTTCAATCCGGGAATCCTAATGTTTTACTTATTTACATTACAAATATGATAAATGAGAAGAAATCGGTCTTCAAACTAATCTGAATAGATTTAAAGATACGCAGTTAGTGAACAAATCAAGTGGAAAAAATCAAAAATTCTGTGTTTCTTGTGCCATACTTGAGACCGAGGAGAAACTAAATACGTTTTTTAACGTGAAAACTTTCATTCGCGTTAAAAATATTTTTGTTAGAGTCATATTGTAAACAGTCAAAGCGAGTACAATATCGATAGCCTAGAGACGGACAATGAACAACACATACATCTCACCGAACATAAACCACAAACAAAACTCCTTTGGTTTTCTAAAACAAAAACACCGAAACAGGTAATGGCCCAACAAACATGACATTTGCTAATGGAAACACAATTAATTAACAGGGTAATCACACACGGGGTAATTACAGTAACAATGGCCTGGCGGAGCGACGCTATAGGCTGTGCGGAGGTTAATGCAGTGTGACGACGCTGCCCGCGTTGGTTGGCGGTGGCGTCGGGACGCGCGAGTCGACGCGACGACGCTCCGCCCCCTTACATGGGGAGGGGGGGGGGACACGCAAACTCCCTGATGTAACATTAATGTGGTATCAATTGTGGCAGCACCGGGGTGATTTATTTATTGGTTTAAATAATTTTGTGGGTAATTTTTGAAATCGCAGATATCGGGGGGATTTTTAAAACAATTTTTGCGGTTTATGACAAGAGTCCACAATTAATACAATATACAATATTACATTACCTTTTCATTAATATAGGCCCTAATGTTAATTTCCATTTGTTAAATACCATAAGCTTAAAAATTGTGTATACAGTATTTATTATAGTACATCAGCATGCAATTACCATTTTAGCTACACCAGTTTTATGTGTACAGACTTAAAAACTAACAGGACAGATGGCTACTTTAATTATTGTTTCTGTAAGTGTAGTTTGGGGTTACTTTGTGTATTATACTTTAAAAATAAAGCCCTTCTCCATTTAATTATGTTAAACCTTTGAATATCAGTCAATGGTTAAACATAGTTCGTTTTAATTTTTACCGATCACAGCAATTAAACTGGTAAATTCTACACAACCTTTATCAATCTGTTTTTCTGATTAATCTGAATAAAAGGAATGCAACTCTAGACGAGAAAATCACCAAAGGAATCGTTTGATAGATTTTTCGATCAATCGATCCTAATCTCGATCGATAGCAGAAATCGATTAATTATGATTCACTCCATCGGAAAGACCGCTCAGAAAGTGTTGTTCTTTAATCAGAGTGATCTAATTTGCTGCTTATTAATTTACTGGGCGTAGAAATTAATTTCCTTGTGAAATCCGGTCGAGTCGATGATTTGCCTTCATTTCCAGAATTCATTAGATACCAATAATGGTTATTTCCTCCCTGATTGAAGCAGCGTTTAGCTCAAATATTTGTTTAAACGAAAATAATGTTATAATAATAATCTTATATAAATAATCTTATATAAATAATCTTAAAATAATAATATTTTTTAAGTTTCGAAACTATTGTTAATTTTTATTTTATTTTTATTTAGACAAATTGGTAAGATTTATTATTACTGCGTTTACCACTTTCTTCGAACCCACTGTGAACCTTTCATTTGAAATCCTACAAAAATAAATAAGAAAAATAACCATAAATGAACAAAAAAAAAAAAAAAAAAAAAAAAAAAAAAAAAAAAAAAACTGGTCAGGCTTAAATCACAAAATAGCAGCTCATAGACGTAAAATGTTATTGTTTTGTTTTATTTATTAGTTACAGATCTTTAATATAGTGTTTCATTTCCCATCGATTAAATATATCAAATACTGACATAGGTGCTCATTTCCCAAAGATTTTGTTAATTGAATAACTTGTAACATTCATCAACACAATATTACGTTTGTATAGAGTAAGAACTTCAATGACCGGCGCACTGAACAATAAAAAGTGTTTGAGACTCGCAATTTTTCCCACTATGACTTAGTGTGTGAGAAATCTTCGTGTGGAAACAAAGTATGATAATAGGACAAGTTGTGAGATCATGGGCATGTCAGATTGATGCGGGGGAGAGGGGGGGGGGGGGGGTCGGCGACGTAGAAAGCTGAAAGTCGGCACACTGGCTTGAGGTGATGATGCAACTAATTTTTATGTCTAAGTGCGACTCGGACAGGCGGACAAGTAATGAGATACTGCAGAGATAGATCATTAATTATTTTAAAGCAATATTTTAGCAGTGACTCAATTGTGTTCAGGGATCGAGTTTAAGGAAAGGTGCTGTGTACCTGATACAATTTCTGATAGGGAAGATATTTTACACAGAAAGTGTGGTTCAAATTTGACGCGTTTACATATTTCAAAAGAATTACTAGTCTAGTAACACATCAACAAGTGTTTAGTGTAATGCTGTTAACATGAATCCAAGATTTTTATAGATCAAGCCTAGTAGCACAACATTTACATGTGAAGTGACAAAGAAGAGTAATTTTGTATTTATATGTATATTGACTAGTGGTGGTTGTTTTTGACGCGGTAGTGGAGTAGGCCTAAGTCACACATTTTACGTTTTTAACGATTTTATACTGTGGTTGTCATTTACAAAAAAAAAAAAAAAAAAAAAAAAAATTGCAAATTTAAGCTATCACCGTAGGTCTCATGGTAAGACCTAGACCCGGGACCGATTTACTTTTTCGTTTTGAGGTCCCCAGAGGCCAAAAACACCATCCGTTCAAATTTATGTATATAGATGTGGGGTTCGTTAGTGCGATAACTCGAACAAAAATGATCCGATTTTGATGAAATTTGGTATAAATGTGTAAACTTAGCCTACATCTAGCCACCTAGTTCGCGAACCAGCATGATCGGACTATGGGAACAGGGGTTTATGGGGGGTTTTATAGTGTTAAAATGGGCCTTTCGATTTTTTAACCTGTAAACATAAAATTCTACCATTTCTTTCCAAACCATTTTGTTGAGCTCAAAACAACAAATAATTTAGCATATTGAAGCATTGTTGTATGTTTAACGGGTACCGAAAAAATCCCAAAAAAGTTAAAAATTTTAAATAATCATGTTATTCTTATGGAGAATAAAATAAACTGTTGTAGCGAGCTTTTCTATGGACATATTTTAGTGAAATTTTGAAATTTAGTTTACTTCATACTAAGCTATCAATATTTCAATAAAAAACCCCTATTTTCTTCCTTATAGCAGCAAACAAATCTGAAAATTTTAAGGGAATAATTTAGTAGAAATCCAGTCAGGTAAATGGAAATTCGCTTAGTCTGAGAAGGTTTGCTGCGGCGAGGGTATTTTTATTTCCATGTATGTTACACAAAATAGGATTTGTTCAGAAACTTATCCAAGTCACGAGAACCGGCTGACTAAAATGTAATGCAGTATCAGTGACCGAGCGCGATGGAGGCCCCAAATTGAAATCGGCGGCCGGCGGCGGTAAAAGGTTTGCTTTCACTGATAATTGTAATATTGACAAAGTTTATGAGGGCATTAGGGACAAACGGACCGACAGTACTTTATTAGACCGACTGCTACTGCTACTACAGTCACCAACTCACTTCACCATTGCTCCTGTGCTCTAACCATGCTCCAACGTCTGTAGCGAAGCGGGATGCTAATTTAGGTTGGGATGACTGTAATCGAGACTTAACCGACCGTGAAAATCACGGAATTCGGCAACATGTGTGATGAAACGGGACATTGTGAGGTTATGTCAGTGTTACTCTCCTGAGGCATGACTCGGTCCATTGCCTGCTTTGCTCAGATAAACACTATTAACACTTAATGTTTGCATAGAAAGTAATTGTGGCGAGCTGTGTTGTGAAACGTTCAAATACACTGTTCATAGATGTATTCTCTGGATACAATATAAACAGTCTTAGTTTTCTGACTCTTTGTGCTAGGGATTTCATTATGTCCGTGTGTTGGCTTTAATTCAATCATAATATTTCTTCGTATGGGTTTCAAAAAGTTGTTGAGGTGCGAATATGTGGTGAGCTGAACCAGAAAGCAAAGTCTTATTTATACATCTAATTCCTTATGTTGTAATACACATTTCTTTTAACCAAAAGTCTATCGTTGTCTACACTTCGTTATGTCACAAGTTGTTACCATATCATAACACGTATTTGTACTTACAGTTACAATAGTGTGTTATTTGTATGAGAGATCCTAGTTTACACTTAATTTTATAAAATTATACTTTTCAATGTGTCTAAATAACATTTTATCTAAATAAAAGGAATGCAGGAAGACATATTCTATACAATCCAACCCAGACCTTCAAGTTAATTGGAAACAGCAATCAACAAAACTTGTCTTCCAAGAAATGCACTTGAGCGCCAACAGGTCATAATTGGCGCAATCTTGGAAATTCATCCATCAAGTTTTTTTGCAGATTTGGGTCAAACAAAC